ATAGAATAATGTGTAGAATGAACAGTGAGTGTGTGGGATGTTTCACTGGGTCCAACAACAGCAGAGGCAGACTAAATAAACCAGTAAGACATTAATTACAGATGAGCACATGATGAAGCCATGTCACCCGGTCCTGGTCAACCTGTCACCTTCGGTAAAATGACCAGACAGCGTAGTTCAACAAGGAGCTCAGTATGAGTCGTCACAGAACCAGACATTGGCACACTCTGACCCTGAGCTCAGCCCAAACAAACTCAACGCTTCTTAAAACCTGGCCTTGTTCAGCTGTTGGCATGGGTCAGAAGTACATGTCAGCTGGACTGAAGGGAGCCCCCAGAGTACACAATGCAGCCCCACTGACAGCACCCCAGCTGTCTTCTTGTCTACCCCGGCACTAACCAGTGTAAACAATAAGTCCAGTGACAGGGATTTCTGGCAAAATCTAAAAACAATAACAATTGGAAATGTTTTTTGGTTTTTTACAACGTGTGCTGCTGCCTTTTCTTGGCCATTTCACACTTAAGAAAGAGCTGGATCTCAGTGGGAATTACTTGGTTAAATAAAGACCAACAATAGCTAAATGGTGCCTAGAAAATATAGCTAGAAGATAAAAAAAAGGTTAGAAGTAGCTAAGATTATTCTAATATTTGCCTTACTTCCTTGGTGCTTCAGCTAGTGGCTACAAACGTCAGTAGAGTGAACCGGACCAGACTCAGATCCTGTTATACCACTTAGTGATACATCAGATCAAATCTCCAGAGAGGGTTTAAATGCAGGACACAAACCGCCTCAGTTTCACAAACGTCCAGTATGACTGAACAGGAGTTGATTATTAGCCGCTCTTACATTTTATTATGTCACAGGTCATTCATTTTTAAGGACCTGTCAGGACACGGTAAACGAGCGCAGCAGATTGTCATGATGTTTTGTTTAAGCCCCAGTGATTCCGAGGCCGTGTTTGGATGCAGACATGTTCAGATCTGTCGGCACCGATAACTTTGAGCAGAGCACAGTAAGACATTCTTTATGTAGGTAATGGAAACGCAATGCATAGGCTTTTTAACCGTGAAATAGGCTACAGGCATCCCTCCTGACATCTGGATTTATGGACCTGGTAATTCCCTTCTGGAATAATTTGGCGGGTACATCTGCAGCTTAACAGCATTCCAGCAGAGCTCTCCTGTGCTAAGAAGTGAGGAGACGACTGATTGATTGATTGCATTACTCTAGTTTTAGTGAGGCTTTAGTGAGATATTGGAGTAATGTTCTAATGTGGTCTATCTATACAACAGTGTTTGATAGGAGCGCTAGGTGATGAGGCTGCTATCTGGATACGTCTGGTTAATCCTGGTTGACTTAGAACAACTTGAGAGGCAATAATTAAAACACACAAAAACATCATATATGTACTGCTGTTAGCATTTACTGCACTTTAGTCAATCTAGATTGTTAGCCACAGTATGTACGGAAGACAAGCAATTAAGTACCTAAATTAACAGTGAAATGTCAAATTTGAAAATGAAAATGCATTAGCAGAAATGTTTTTTCATTTTCAGAATATACCTCCTTTTTGACCAAAAAAATGATATTAATAATGAATCATCCAAACTGAACTCAGTCAATCAATCAATAGAGTCCACAGACCTGCTAAAGATCTGTGAAGAGCTCTGTTCTCCAACTCCACCAGTCCTGACTCCTGATTAGTCTAACGTACAACCTGTAGAGTCACCACAGCCTGTCGTCCTCGTCCTTTCTTCCTCTTTAACCCTGCCGTGTTGACAGATTGCCACTTTCTTCTGTTTGTCATCTGGCTTTGTTCACCTGATAGCAGACGCGTGGCAGCTATCAGAGGAAGACAATAGCATCAACACAATGAGCGACGCCAGGACCTGCAGCCTCGTTGCACACCTGATTTATCACAAGCACCCATTCAGATGAGTTAACTACCCAACAAAGAGTCCTGCGTCGGAGGAGTGGGTGGGGTCTGAGACCCTGGGGAATTTGAAGGGGTTAACTTTGACGTCTGGCCCCAGCCCAGCTGCCCAAATAGATCTGGTTTTTCCCCTAAAACACCTCATCCATCTGCTGAACTTCTCCTCATATAAGTTTCTCCCTGATTGCCTGAGGCACTCCCATTCACAGACGCGTGCAGGGTGACACTGATCCCCGCTGTGACGCCCATTCATATTTAAAGGGAAGTACAGGTGACCTGTGGCTGGCCCTTGCTGGCGCACGTGTGCTCTTCTGCACCCACGCCATCGTACACAACACATTCGCTGGATATTTCCTCAAATTACAGCTATATGAGGAACTAATGGGCTTGGGTTTGGAAGCAGCGAAAAATGGCACGTGCCATCTCAGTAGCAAAGCTGTGATGTGTGAAATTCGATATGACGATGAAGGCGTCAGGATGGAGAAGAAGAGTACGCCAATTAGCTTAAGGATACGACAGGTGACACATACATAAAGGACAATTACGAACCTTTTTGTGGTTAATGTATTAGCCCCGCAGACTATAAGTTAACATGGTAGGATTAAATATTCATTAATATTCTCTTCACCCTCTACTAGTCCAGTCATCAGAGACAAACAGCCACAACAGCAGTCTTGAGCCATCAATGGGTCCATTTTTATTGTTATATGATGTTGTTTATACACCATAAAACTTATATACTTTTAGACTATTTGCAGTACCGTAACCATAATATTAAGTAAAAAGGTTTAAGATTAACAACTTCCTACCTCTGTTCCTTACATGTTGGTTTCTGCTTGACATTATCCCTGTGTTATCAAAACATGTCCCATAATTTTTTCCCCCTCTTTTTATCTTGTGGATAATATTTTCTTGTCATTTGTCTTAGGTCGTTGTCATGGTGATACAGGGTGTGTCCTTATCATTATCATATATATACCCATTCACAACATACTAGTATAAAATGTTAATGCACATATTGTCAAACACGGTGAAATTGACTGCACACTATGTTCAACTGGCTAATTTACTGGAAAGACCCAAAGGGTGCCCTGTATGTGCCTGTCCACATGTGCCATAATCTCTGCCATCAGGAGACCTAATACAACGTTGTACATAAACAAACATCAGGTGAACATAAACGAACATATCAAACATGTTATTAATGTCCACTTAAAAATCAATCAACACTATAGGAGAGAACCACATGAGCCCCACACCACTCTTCATTTTTCCAACTCCTGTGGCCACAAGATACTGATACTGACAAGAAAGGTAATATGGCAACACAATATTAGAATAATTGGCATCTTCTTTGTGTTCAGACATGACACGGATTATTCCCAAAGGACCTCATGCAATTAGGAAATAATGAGTGCATGGGAAGCAAGTTCTGAGGAGGCACGGACACTGGACTGCGCTTCCTGTTACCAGGTCGAAATCAGCTTGATCTGCTGATGCAGCTTCCCTTAGCAGACATGATGTGATGCCACGGGAAGCCGTGGCAGATGCTGCACAGTTGAGGCACACCTCTTCAGGGACGGCGACACTGAGGTGACAGCGGAGGGGTCATGTTTTAACCTGCTGTGTAGCAGCGTGACGGTGGAGCGCACCAACGGACAAAAGCATCAGCTGGGAAACAAGACTAAAGTGTTTCTTGTCCCAAAAGGTTTCACACAGTCTCGTTGCACACATAGGCAAATCAGAGTGGACTTTTAACAAGCAATCTCCCTATTCAGTAGTCAAACGATGCCACTTCTCTCTTTAGTCACTAAGGCATGGGAATTTGAGCAGAACAAAAGGAAGAGCTGCTGCAAGTACAGACACAACAGCAGCCTGACACTAAACAGAGCAATAAAAAACACTAATCAGGCTCAAGTGTCTAATTCAGAATCTCTGTATAATGTCCTTAAAGATTTAGATCTACAGCAGCTGTGTTCAATATCTGAACCCCGGGCCTACTGTGGTACGTGCAGATGTTTTCTTTGGGCCAAAGCATCTTGTTTTCACCCTGCTGTCAAGGTAAGAATTCTACTTCAGTGTAATGTTTTCCGTACTAACAAAAAATTAAATGTCGCAGTTTTCTGCTTCTGATCCAAGTCCAAGTTAGATTTGGACTAATTCTGGTTTAAATTGCATATTTTGTGTATTTTCTCTTCTTTTTGAGCACACATTACCTCATTCAGTTATGGCAAAATTTATAACCAGTGTCCACAAACATTTAGTTACTTTATTTCTTGGTTATATTTTTGTTGTTTTGTTTCAATATGCTACTTTTTTTTTCTTTCGAATAACTTTTAGCTACTCCTAGCTTAGCTTTACTATTGTATAAATTATATGTAGCTTTACTATTATATATATATAATATTGAAAAAAAATGTGGCAAGCAAAAAAACAACAGCATATAACTTCATAAAACTTCAACATTATTGCCAGAAATGTGAAAAGAAAGTCTGAATTCTGATCTCAAAATTCATTTTAAATTCTGACACCAGAGGTCACAAAAAAGGTGAGACAAAAGTCAAGATAGTTTCTTCTGGACAAAAACAACTGAACAAAAGTAACTAAAATCACAGTTTGTCCAAAAAAAAAAAAAAAAATTATATTTCCAGCCTGGGTGTTTTTAACAGAGCACCTTTCACCGCCCTGTAGCTAAAATACTTTGAAAAGTAGTTTCATTTGTGCTCTAGACTCTACAATAATCTAATGATGAGACCAATTATTTTTCTGAAGCATATTGAAGAGAAACAATGGCAAGCAAAATTAATTACATACTCACCTTTGTTTTTTTAATTCGAACTTAATAAATTAAATTATTAATAAGAGTTTAAAAAATTATAAGTTCTGTGTGATTTAGTTTTTTATACTCAGGCAAAAACACCAGTGTTTTTCAGAAACATTCCAGCCTCTCAATTACACAAAATAACCTCCTATTAATACAACCCTAATGAAAACACACAACCATTTCAATCAGCATCTGCTACTGTGATTTCTCATTGATTCAAATTCGGACGATGAAAACTCTGAAGACATTATCAGCTTTTATTCCAACTTTTGCAATTTCAATCCGTTATCCTTCAATATTCCCATTCATTGGAAGCACAACTTTAAAGAGTCCAGAAGGGTGAGGCCACGTGACAGAGTGAACTACACAGTGTGTAGTTTGTGTCGACAAACACAGACCAAATGTCTGACACATGAGCAAAGTCAGAGATTCTACTTTGACACATGTAGGACGGCGTTCAGAGAGAAGATTTTCCGTAATGGAAAACACAATTGTCCGCATTTTTACTTAATTACAACCATAACACTTTGGATCTTACAAAGCGAATCAAACATTTTGGTCGTGAGAGAACTATATTCTGATCAAATAAAACACAAAAGGGATTTTCTCAACATTTGTACCACATCATCGCACAACAAACTGCGCTTTAACAGAGTCAGGCAACGGAGTTTCAACACAAAGGAACACAAAGAAGAGCGAAACCAGACGTCGATGACCTCTTTGGATGCACCAAAGACCTTAAAGGCAGGCAGGAATGGCCTCGTTAGTGTACAGTATATTATTTAGGATACATTTCATATTTGTGGTTTTTAGAGCACAACAGAATACATTCAGAGAAGGGATTTAGGCTTCAAGATCAAGATGAGATGACAGAGTCTGCCAAGAAACGACTTGTTTTTCTAACAGCAGCAGAAAGGAATAAAGATATTCAGCATTAGATTACGTGTTCCCAGAAGGTGCAACATGCATTAAACAGCTAAAAGAGTTTGACTATTTAAAGGTACAGCACATGGACCATATATAAGAAATGGATGTAGCCACATGGTTGCATAAGTGGAGCTGCTGGAAATGCTAGTGTTTTTTTCTTTGTTTTATGAAACCCTGTGCACAAAGGGTTAAAGGAACAATGGAAGATTGAATATGCAGTTAGTGGACAAAGGTGTGTCTTACACACTGCATTTGACCTGTAGGACTTAGATCACACTGTTGCCCATTTAACTTGTGCAGTTTCAACCTGGTAATTTCTGAAGTGTGTGTATTAGATATAGTTCATCCACAAAACTATTGAATAAATCAACTAAACATGGAGAAATATACACACTCTTCACACAGGAATATTTATAGATTCTTACATATAGAGTAAAATTTAATTTGTTGTATGATTTTACTGATAACGTTTTTTTTACGGAAATCACCATTCAATCAAAAGGATGTTTGACATGCGAGGCTAACGTGCTTTTTTGAATAGAATGTAAAACCTGCAATTTAATCATAAACTTTTGAGGAAAAAAACTGTACCTAAATTTTGATGTTAGTCTTTCATCTGAAACCAAGCTCCATACTGGAAAACTGGAAAATCCTAAAATGAAAAAACAAAACAAAAAAACAACAACAAAAGCCTATAAATTACAAAAGCCTATAAATTATTGATTGACCATGAACCTCTTCATACTGTTCAATAAATAATCAATAAAACAAAAACAATCGCTTACCTAACTCCTAATCCTGTACAGCCACTTCACTTTTGCAACCATACGTCTCCCTCCACTTCTTACATTCCAGCCATAGTAGCACTTCATCTCTCCTTTGTTTCAAAATCATACAGTGCAAAGGTCTAACACTCTGAAGACTTGGGACTGAAACAAGTGTAACAGAATTAGTTCCATTTGATAGAGGTCGCCATTAATATGGTGATGAGTAAAAGAAATGATCATAAACAGCATAGTAAACACTGTCAATGAAGCTGTTTCACATTATGTAACAAAAAATAACAATGTAAACCATCAAAACCAGTACCTTTAACTGAACACAAGCTCAGTTCAGGGAATGCTCTCTGTCTGAGATGAGAACCTCAAAGTAGTCATAGTTGTAGTTCACTGTTTCAACCAGTAGTGTGGTCGGAGAGCTGCTCCACAGCTGACTTCATGTTTGTTTACAAAGAAAAATACTCAGACAGTGTTGATCAATTACAAGATGAGATGAACGGATGCACTGATTGGTTTATACATCGCCCTGTCAAAAACACTTAGCACCGGTGTGCAGTGGCAAATGTGTCTCTTTTTAATAGTTTTAGACACCAAAGGACTGGGTTTTACTGCTAGAAGACGTATGTCATGGTTCTGCTTCTGTTTAGGATGTTGCTTAAAATACTTAACAATTATGACATCCTGCAAAATCCTGCTCTCTAGACTCAAGAGTCACTGTTATAATGAGAAACAAGAATGGCTTTGCCTTTGCTAGAGAAAGACTGGACTCTGGAGCAACGATATAGTAATGATAATGATAGGCCAAGTACACTGGTGTGTCCAAATTTACCTGGAGGGATTTAAGGTAGGATGAGTTGAGCTCATAATGTGATTTCCTGTCAAACTCCTTGTCTGCTCTGCCCCCTAGTGTTACAGTCTACGGTTGATTCAGTCAACCACTTCTAGGTCAAGAATTAAGGACAACATCAGTAACCATCTCCTATCACAGCCAATCAGGGGACGGTCAGTTCACAAGTCCATCCCTGGACCTAAATTGTGACAGATCGATAAGAGCTCATGAGTCAGTGTGTTCACACATTAACTGGCACAAACGCTTCAGAGAAACAAAGTGTCTCACTTCTCCTCTCATTAAGATTAAATTTTTGGGTTTAACAATTGTGATAAAATACATGTAGTGACTGAACTGTATCTGCGCTGAAATCAACAGTAAAACGTATCTAATATCTAATTGAGTACTAGAGCGTTTTTACTGACATGTTTTGCTAGGGCAGTGCATAAATGTCAGAATGTGGGGGAAAAAAAAACTGTGAAAAATAATAAGCAATATTACGTACTTAAGGCAGTATAACATACAGCAACAATGCAAATATGATTGACTTCAAATGTAAAAGTAATGTCTTAATACATACAAGTGTTATTTTCTGCTATTATTACACTTCAAACATTGTATCAAAAAGTAGCCCAGTCAGCACTGTGTCTGTGTCACCATGTGGGTGTGACATAACTGTACCCACTGAGGCCATGTAAACCCAGGTGGCAGCCATGACTGGCTTGTACTCTTGGTGATAGAACTTAAACAACATTAAAAAAAAGACTTACAATAGTGTTCAAACATAAATGAGCAGTGATATAAACTGTAGAGTACCAACATGTAGATCAATACAACCTTTAGCAGAAACTCTATGTTAGCGGCGTATGTTTCAATCAGTTTAAATCAATGTTGAATGAATTAATCCATTTGATGATATATATATATATAAAATGTAAACAAAAGCTTAATCAGCAAAATGACGGTGATATTGCACTTAAATTTTTAAATTATTACCATTGGGGAGAGCAGAGATATACATGATAGTCAGCATAAATAAAACAGTCAGCAACCAATAAAAGGGAATGGAAGTTTGTTCATTAAAAGTGACTCAGGAAGTGCAGATGGGAAGCAGACTTCCATATATGTCCAGCAACGTCTCACCATAACCCCCTCCCCGTCTTTCTAAGAAGACCAATAAATCACTCAGGCTGCTGGGTGAAAACAAAGTTCATTCACATCTGCAGCTCCGACTGAAACAGACTCTGCAAACACTTTACACTCTACTTAATAAATGTGCATCAAATTTTACATGGCACCTTTGAGACTTGTGCTCCAACGTAAACACTGCATCTGCAGCTTCATGTTTGCTTGTCTACACACTCCGTCGTCTTTCAGCAAAACAACACACAACCGCAACTTCAACTACAGCATCTGCTAAAGACGCAGCCGTCTTCATTTGAAAGTGAAGAGCAGCTGCACAGATAAAAGCTGGTTCACAAGTGCATTCAATAAACAGCTAAACTTGGTCCGACTTCGTTTGTGCATTCAATAAACAGCTAAACTTGGTTAAACAGTCCTTCTTTAAAAGTTGGGTTGACATTGTCATGTTGGGTTCACAGGAGTTTTGAAGACCCCTGGATATTATGATCCAACTGCTGTACCACTTTTGGCCAGCAGGGCTAGCTCCAAAAACAATGTTTTATGGAAATTATTGATAAAGCACCATGGATCTGCCTGCTTTGATTACAGATTTTTAAGATTCCTCCTTAACATCCTGATGACAATACAGTTCACATTCATTAGGCTTCTAAAGAAATAAACTTTAAATGGTTTGGGTTATTTCTGTGTTTCTTTAAACAACACAAATCATAGAACCTTTTCACTTACTATGCAATTTCATCAATGTGGACATAAACATGTCCATAAATCCAAAATGTGACTTTTTGGATCAGGTGATGAAAATGCACATGTAAAAGCCTTAAAGAGGAGGATTCAATATTTAAAGAGTTGTCCTGGTGTGAACCAAATGAAGTGTAAAGTAACAACCTAACAACCGAGCTTTAGCAGACTCGCCATTAGTGTGTTTGCTAATGTGTGGAGGTTAGCATTTATGCCACCAGGATTCATATTAATACACCAAACATGACAAGTGTGAACACAACCCAAATGAAGCCACAGGCTCTCATGTGTTTTCAGGGTTACAATTCGGTGACCTAGCAAACTAATCAGTTTAGAATACAGTGCAAAATGAAGCGCTAGTTAACATGGCGCAGAATACGCAAACCCAAATTTGAACTCTTTTACTGATCAGTGTGTAAATTAGTGTGTTTTCACTGATCTAGGTTCTACTGGGCTGAGATAAGGTTCAAGTGTGAAACCAACCTGAATCCTTATAAATACTATTCATCCTGCCTCAGTACCTAATTATAAACCACTAGTATTCAGGGAGGACTTTTTAAACAGGTGCACAGGAATGTCAAACAAAAACTAAGATAATCAAAATATACAAAATGTTGCAAGAATTACATTAATTCATTAAAAATGTCCTGGAAGTTTGGCTGTGATAAAACCCATCCTCTACTCCATCTTTACATGAATCAAACTACTACATTAGCTTCCACTAACCCTTCATTAGTAACCGACCTCCAATTATTTTGCTTCTCACTGTTTTTTACAACGTTTACCCGCCTTCTTTTTTGGCTCATACGGTGTTCGTAAAATGTTTGGCGTTTCCTCCATAACCCGCACCAGGAGGTTGTCGATGTAGTCTTCCAGTTCTCGGATGTGAGCGTCTTTTTTTCTCACTACTTCTTTTTGCTTGATGAGTTCTTGCACAACTTCTTCAAAAGATAAGTTGCGGTAGGCAGCCACGCTCTCCTGTCTCACCTCCTGGAAAGAGGATGAAGAAATCAGGCAGTTCAGAACATAAGAATTTGGTAATCTTCAACATAAACACTATTAGTTTAAGGTAAACATTAGCTGTCTGTAGGAAGAATAAATCATCTGGTCCAGTATAAAACAATGTCACCTACTTTATTATCTTATATCCAACATTCTCCAAAATAAGATTACAACATAAGACGGGTTTCCTACATGACACCACAGTGTGTTGTGTTAAATCATGGTGAGAGCCCAAAGCAGAAAGGGTTGCTGAACTAACCTCAGACATCAGGAGACATTTGAACAGCCTGTGGACAAGTGCTTCCAGGATCAGGCTTGTGATGCAAATAAAAGAAAAAAAAAGGCTTTGTCTTCTCTTCTTCGACACAAACAGTAGAGACTACTATGCACGGTCCTTTAGAAAAACTGGTCCGCTAGCACGTCCTTTGTTGTCAAGTCAAACGAGTTGCTGTACGCGCAGCACGGTGTTACGAGTGTCGGAATAATAGTTTTCACAAAAAAAACCCTCCTGGGTCACAAAGGATGACTTGAACAAATATCTTAATTTCTTCATAATGACAATTCGACTCTTAAAATTATGGATGTATTTTTAAAAGTTTAATTGGCGACATAATTGATGACAGAAGCAGAAGTACAACTACCTCGTGTTTGTGCAAAATAAAACAGAACCCCCCTCCAGCTAATTAGGTGTGGAAACCTAATGTCACAACCTGTCAAGTGTGTGTGTCTTGTTATGTGTTGTTAATAAAGGCTAAATGAGAGTTGTTAAGATGAGACTGTTCTCTGGGGATTTGGCATTGTCATGTCACCGCATTCTTCGACAGATGTTTTGATCTAGAACTGTCTAACAAATCAACGGCAATTTAACCTCTCATGGGATTTGACTCTGATGCTCATGGAATCAACAAACATTCTGATAAAGTTGTTCATTAATTGTCCTTTCTCTCACTTTTCTAAAAGTATATTCCTTTCCCCCAAACCTGAACCAAGAGAAGATGAAAACACAAACTCTGTTCAGCCTGTCACTCATTTATACACACCAGAATTCCAGAATTGTTGGCACACCCACAAAAAATGCTATAAAAAGGTGAAACTACAACTATTTATTTGAAATGCTGTTACAGGTGGCTATTGTAGCAAGTGCCATGGTTTTCAACCATCCCTTAAATAAACTTGTTTTATGGGAAGAGGTTCCAGCTGTTTATTAGTGCAATTTATTTTCCGTAACAAAATAAGACTGCATTCCAATCCCAGATTTGTTCTCTGAGAACAACCTACAGTACTTGTATCTGGACAAAGCAGCACAGTGCAGTATGCGCAGATAATATTGTGCAGGTATGAGAGAAGCTGTAATCGTTTTTAATGAGGGAACCACTTTATCGCCTCAGTGCTGGGCATCCTCCCCCGAACGGATGGTGCAGCAAAGCCTTCACCCTGTTTAAAATACCACACTTATCAGTTTCCACTCCCATGCACCACTCAGCCTTCCACTGATGGCTAAAGACAATGCTGAAAGACCTGGAGCGGGACAGCTTACCAGGTATCTTATCGCTGCAAACAGCACAAAGGCTACTGTGGGCCGATCCGGACGGCTCAAACCAAAATGAAATATTTTTGATAGAGATTATATTTCCAGAGTGAGGGGGCTTCAAGAACCGGAGCACAGTGACCTATTCCTTTACACGTAACACAAAACATGTATCTGACTGAAAGATACTGCACTTAAGCTGACTACGGAGGCAAGAGGAGAAGCGGCAGTCGCACTGTTTGGAACTAAACGCTGGTTTCACATACACTCACACATATATTCACACACACACACGGCATAATAATCAGAGACTTTAGTGGCTGCTGACAAAGGCCTGGAAATGACCATGAACTGGCAAAGTAATGATGACCATTTTCTGCGACCAGTAGTGAGGAGAAGATAAGGCTCACACTTGGCATTCTCCACTTGTGTCATTACAGTTTCTAATGAGCTCAGCTTTGACAATCTAAAAGCTCAGTCCTTTGAAATCTCTCACAGCCCCACTCCCCCCTCCCCACAGCATGTGGTTAATTAGGGCCTTGGAGCAGAGGAAATGGGAGCCTGCCATTTCAGCGCAACACTGCGGCACGCACAGGGGCATGTGTCGGATACCGACAGCCTTCAACACCCACACAGAAAGGTGAGGAAAGCCATTATCAGCATTCGCTTTCTCATTTAGGCATCACTTAAAGCCACTGCTCCCACCACCATCTCACAAATGCCAAATTTGCTATCCAACAGTCTGCAAATTTCTGTTCATTTTAGTTCTAAAATCGCAAGAAAATTTTGAAAGAAATTAAATGTGTCAAAGAAGTTGTGTATATGATGTAATAATCGCCAAGGAAAAAAAATAAAACAAAACCATTTCTTTGCCTGTTCTCAGTGGGTAAAGTCCAATTACAGAACTGTTAGGCTGACCTTCATATCGACTGAATTTTCACACCAGCACAAAACCTGATTGGATCAACACACTGACCGATATGTGCAGCTGCTAATTAGTTGAATGACACATTGGTGAATTTTCTGGGGTCTCACAGATCAGTGTCACCAGCTGCTTTGTCAAATGGAACTTTGTCTCCTCAGCTAAATATATGCCTGACACTGCACAGGGCCAAATGACACTGCTGAAACTGTTAGTTTTGTTCTTAGTTTTTTTTTGTTCTAGTTACTAGAAGTTACACTGCTAGAGTTTGACCTAATTGATCAGCTGACACTGAGAGAGTTGTTGTATCTTTCTTACGTTCTTCCTGCCAAAGATGTCCTTTTTCTTGTGGCCTAAGGTGATGTCGTCGTCTTTTCCTGATGACTTTTTATCACTGAGAAGAAACAAGTTTCAGAGACAGTTAGTGGTATATTGTCAACATCAAAAAACAAATCAAATTGCTTCAGCTTTCCACTTTATTTCAACTTTTCAGTTCATAAATTCTATTTTGCAACTCCCATAATTATGAGTCTTTGCCTCGCAATTATCAGTTATCTCAAAATCTTGACTTTTTGGTTCCATAATTAGAGCTTTTATCTCTCATTTTCACCTTAATCATGCCTTTTAACTTGAATATTTAACTTTTTATGTTAATAATGACTTATATTCCTCAAGATAACAACTTTTAATGTCTTTCCAAGGTATTATCTAAGAATGTTTGACCTATAAGCTGAAAAAAAATCATAAAAAATATTTGTAATAATAATAATGACATACTTGTAGGTAGTTTGTGATGAATAATTCATTTTAATTTAAGAATATACAGAGTGTATTGCAGTAGCTGTATATCCAGTACAATTGTACTTTGAACCACCTTTCCAATGTTCCTGGGCCACATTATAAATGACCACTAAGCTACTGCATGACAAAGACCGCAGTAAAGATGATGGACCAGCGCCTACAGAGATAACTGGTTAATTGGGTGGTCTATCTGGGCACAGCATCTCATTACTATAGCTATGAGGGCTGTGTTATCAAGTCCTAACTCTCTAAAGAGCCACTAATGACACCTTCAACTCTGATAAAGCAGAACTTAGCCACAGCGCTTCCAAACTCTTGGTATAAGATGGAAATCGATAAAAAAGACAGCTTCTTGGAACTGTTTAAAAATAAAAACTGTTTTAAAGGCAGAATGAAATGGAGCCAGGGGTTGGGTCACAACAGATTCAAAGCATTGTTGTGTTTATTATCCTGTATTACAGCTGTACATCCGTGTTATTTATTTAAGTAACGATATGAATGCATGGTTACTTTATCAAGCATTTATATTCATATTTTGAGATGTCTGTATAATGAGCAGGATTCAGGATTATGAATACACAGGTAAGTATTGTACGTGGTGTAGTAGACATGTATCACAGGGTCAGTTCAAAATATGTTCCAATGTTGTGATGGAAATAAAAGACTCCCAAGGTACCTGGATTTGTAGTTGAAGCTGAATGGGTTTGTATCTGCTTGTGGGTCTCCACTAAAAGGGTTGGGGGAACGCAGGTCTCCCGAGCTGCCAAATCGACCTCCGTTGCCAGGTTTGCGACCTTCCTTCCTCCCAGTCACGCGTTCCAAGAGGCTTACTTTCTCCTTTTTCTCCTTCCGCTCACCACGGTCCCACAGCTGCCCGCGCTCCTCCTCAAATGGGTTGTGATTGCGTGGGAGCGTGGCATACTTCTGTGGCAGGGTGTCACTGATATCAGTGAAAGGGTCACCGTGTGCCTCAGTGTCCTGATAGTCGGGCACTATGCTCTGGGAACGCCTGTGAGGTACACCTGTACTCCCTGAAGAGAAACCAAAAGCATTAACTAATTAGTGAGAAGCAATAATAAAAAAAACCTTTATGAAAATAACTAATGACCTCAATGATCTCATATTGGCCAAGTCAATGACTCAGTATTAAAATATTGTCACAGGCTCAGATAACTGTTGAGTGATAATGTGAAGCCAGTCACTAGAGTAGACAGATTATTTATACATTTTATTTCTAAATGGTGAGCTGTTGGTATTTAATATAATGCTTTCAGTATCTGTGCTAAAAAAAAGGAAATACCAGGAACAAAAATACCTCAGAGTGGACTGTAGAGGCTAAAAGGACTGCACACTGGTTAACTTAATGCTTATTCTCCAGCTCTTGCATGCCCTGCTTGATATGCTCACATTAAAATGTTTCAACAATACTATGTGACTTAACCAAAGTATGGAAGCTAAAGATCTTACTTCTCTCATCAATTGAGTTCATGGAGTCCAGCTTAGGCCGAAAGTGGGACTCAATCAGATCTGACATAGAATGGGCTGCAGAGAGTTTATGGGACCCAGCCAGCAACGGCCTTTTGACCTTTCCGTCAGTCTTGGGTTGTTGGTCTTGGCCAGAAGATTGGGAGTTGGGCTCTGACTCACACACAGCAGAACGAGGCAGAATGGCTGAGGATGCATCACCAAGGCCGCTGTCATGCTTTCGACCCTTCATTTTGTCCTTTATCTTGGAGAAAGGAGAACGAGGCTTCTCTTTCATTGAGAGGTCAAACATGCTGGCCGTCATGTTGTTTCTCATGAACTGGATGCTAACTTGGATGCGACCCCGTTCTTTCCTCTTCTGTCCTGGTTTGGACTCCAGGGAATACCAGCTAGGGCAAGAGGGAATACATGGGTCTACATTAGAGCTTTCTTTAAGGACAATTAAAATTAAATTAAATAAAAAAATCTTCTAGACTGTTATCAGTAAAAAGGTGGGTGTGCATCAGTGTCCAGTGCAGTGGGGATTATGCATATACAGTATGTGAAGGAACTGTTGATGTAATAGGCAACAAGACAAACAGGCATGTTTGCTTTGGTAGAAATTGAGCCTTTGTTTGGCCTGCCTGCAGTCCAGATTGGTCAGCAGGTCTTCTACACAGCAGAAAATTCTACTTTGCAAAGCTGCATTAATTTGTATTTTCACTTCTCGACTAATCAAAAAGGTTCATTTGAAGAGATGGTGACCTAACCATAAAGGAGACTCTGAACTTTGTTTGCTAGAAGATCAATACATGCATTTAATAATGTTTAAGAATCATTAAAGGTTGGTTTACAAAAAATTGACTTCTTTTATGTGTCGTCTGAAAACAATGGTCTGAGTTCATTACTAAATTACTGTTTTTAGGTATTAATGTATTTACGTACACTCTATTAACTGTTTCTGGAAATTAGGCTTGCATAATTCAAATGACAAGCCTAAAAATCATTAGTTGGATGGACTACCGGTAAATGAAATAATACAAGTTAACAAAGTCAGAATGAAGTAAAAGCTCTTAGGTTATTAAGCAATATGACAGATGGGAACAAAAACAGCCTCCATTCTTTCTAATGTGCTCTACCTACTCCTTTGTGGACGCTAGTGAAAAGGCTAATTTGAACAGACTAATCCAAAAGCTACACACAAACGCAGGAGCTTAAACCATTTGAACTTTTTCCTGACACATTTGAGAATGCAATTTATCATTCAGAGGATAAACATTATTCTTTGCAAACTGAACGTGTGAAACAGTCGGGTGCTGAATAATATAGGTCATTTCAGGCTGCTTTTGAGCTTCTATTTGTTTAACCTCTCTGCTTCCTCAACTGGAAGGAATGGGATTTATGCTTTCACTGGGAGTGAAATGAAGTGGCATTTGCACAAATCTGGCCTTTGTTCAGAAATGCAACAACAAGCAAGCATGGAAAATTGCAAAGCCACATAGCAGGGCAACCAAACAGTCAATAAATGCTAATAAGTCATATTGTCTATGTTTTATGTTTGATGTTTTAAGTGACTATGTCTGGAACCAGTGAGTGTAAATCAGAGAATACATTTGGCTGATTTATCAAAAAATAAAACACAGATAAAGCCATATCCGAAACATACAAGCTATATTTGTATTTTTGTTACCAATACAAATAATATTACTTTCAGGATTTAATTGGAGATTTAAGTTTTTCTTGACTCAAGCTCAATCCAGCTGTCGATGGCTGTTCTAAACCATGTCATGGCCCAGCAGTACGCTCATGAAAGGCCTTTTCGGGTCTAATTCCCAGGCTGAGGACTGAGCTCAGTATGACCAGCGACCACAGTACTGCTGTGGGGCTGGTGCTGGACCTCACGTGTATCTCAAGGCCAAGATAAGCCTCTGTGTGCTTGGAACCACAATCCTCCCACTCCCACTCGGGCCTGGACCTCTGGGAAACTCCTCACAATCAACAAACACAGGTGTGCGATAATTATGGGCTGTCTACTCAGATATCAAGACAGGCTTTCTTCTCAGAATGTCAGTTCAAAAACACTGTGGATGGGCTGCAGTGAGCAAAGACCCTCAGCAGAATGTGACTACTGAGTTTCCTGAACTCAAGTGTGCCAGCAGTTTAGAACTAGGCCAACGCGAAACATGAACATATAGATTATATATCCGCTGTAGAGAAAGGTTTGGACACCCCTAAACAAACAGAAACCTTCAACGCTGATTATAAAATATTGTGATTCTGCCACTTGATGAGCAGAGAGAAAGCTGTAGCATGTGTTTCCATGCTGAAATTTGCACTGTGCTAATGAGCCACAAATTCTGTTCCTGTCCGGCCAATAAGAAAATTAGAAAAGTAGTGTAATGGTCTTGTGGGGACAACTCCTTAGCCAAGTACAATACAACCTCATCAGGAAGTGATAGCACCTACAGTTCATTATATAATTTTTTTCATGTCAGCGGCTGTGGATGTAAGCATTACTGTTACTATTAACGACTGTCCTTTTAAAATGAGTACTATGTTATTACTTTACTTTTTTTAACTGAAGTAAGAAAACACCATTAACTGACAACAACTCTGCCCTGCAGTGAATGTTGTCGTTGATTAATTGTTGACTAATGTTGATTAATGTTGCACTTCTCTATTTGGATAGGACAAACCAGCCAATTAAAGCAACTAAAAGTGTTTCCACGTCACTTTAAAACAAATTATTTCTAATAACCTTTACATGGAACACACTGAGGTGGTACAGAAATACAAGTTCTTATGGCTCTGGCAAATCCATCATATTTCAGTGGCACATTTGATCTTAACTACAAACACAGGAGTGACCTAACAAGACATGTTTAGCTGGCTCCACTAGTTGCAACGAGGCTGGCTAGTCCTTAGGAGGATGGTGATTAAGCTAAAAATAACCTCTTAACAATGTAATGAAATGCACCACAAGCCTCCAGCAACTGAAGAAGGAATAATAAGCATTTACAGTACAGCCTACTCACTGTAAGAGAATGTGTTCCAGCCAATGTGAGTTAATTATGACCAACAAAATAAAAATATAAAGAAGAATAAAAGGTGGTGTTTCAGTCAGTCTTGCTATATGTCAGACCTAAAAGGAATGCTTTTGTGGCAACCATGTAAACAAAACATGTAGAGAAAATGCAATGGCATTCAAACTATGTTGTGCTGTAAGGTCATTTACAACTGAGAACAAACCCAGCATTATAGACAAATCCATACAGTTTTATCAGATGTAAAAATATGAGACGAACATGGAAATAAATGTCTGACGCACTTCCACATGACTTTGTGTAACGACTAATATCCACCTAACACTGGAATGTGTCTGTAAACACTTTCCACTTCCACTTTATAAAAATAAATCACATTACAGCTTAATTACAGTTAAAAAAGATTCTTCAATTTACTATTATCAGCTGTAGGAAAAGGTGGAATAAAGCTAACATAAAACAACATCAATTCTAATATATATAGCACACCTGTGAATTACCATACACATGTGTATATATACGTCTGTGTATATATGCAAAATAAAGTGTATACATATATAAATATATATACACTCTTTATTTCTTTTTGTGATGGACATATGAATATAGTATGTAATACTTACTCAGTTTTCTTTCGCTCCTTGTTATCGAATATTTCATTAAGATTGATTGACTTCTGACCTAAGAACTTGTCCATTCCAACCAAGGAGCGATGCATCACAATCAGGCAAAGTTGATAGACTTCTGGGTTGCCCTCCAAGAGCAGGCCAGGTAACTCAAAGGAGGCTTCTTCTCTCCAGACTGGATTGAGTGTTTTCTCTGCCACTGATGTCGAGTACTTTTCCTTGCCCAGTTGAATGATAGTGAAGGCATCATTTGTGCCACTTTTGCCTTTGGGCTGTAGACCACTTGCCTGGAGAACTGTGGCTTGGACGTGGGTTGGAAACCACTTTTGAGACTGCTCACCCAGAGACATTTTTAGCACTAGTTATTGATAAGGATCCATTCCACAAGCAGTAAAAGGTATGCAGTTTATATTTCAGTGACTACAATGTGCAAAATAATGAAGAATTATGGTTTGCTATTGACTGGTGTCCATGTCTCTGTGTGGTCTCATCTTCTTTATTAGCCACACATGTCTTAGCCAATGAGTCACCAATGAGTCACCTGAAAACACAGAAGCAGAAAAGCATCAGTATGTTTCCTGGAAACAGGACAGGAGTCACATCCACAGACCTCAATAATAACACATCAAATGATTTAGTGTGTTTTAATCAGTATTTAAACAGCATTTCTTTTCAGTGATGGAAGACAAGGAAATACTATGACAAAATCATAATTCTGTCTCTGCTACAGTATAATTGTTTGCACTTGTGTATAGTGAGCTTGGTCTCTTCTGCAGTATAAAATCAAAGCAATGGGTCTCACCCAGTGACACATTTTGTTTCAGTGCAATGTCAAACCAACAGAAATGGTGTGAAGTTCTTCACATAATTCATATGATTTTTATACTCTTTTGCCTTTTCTTGTGATCACATTTTTAGGGCATAAATATGCGCCAGATTTTTAAAGCTTTGAAGAGATAAGAACATTTTAAGGTGTCATAGAAGTTCCTTAAGGTGGTAATTGTTATTTACATGATTCATATTATAAAGACAAGACGAGTATCACTGAACGACGTTCATTTTCCTTTAAGTGAAAACTATTATAAATGTTTACCGCTACCTAACCACAATTTATTTGAATTACATTTCGAGTCTTATCTTTGGCAACAAAGGACGTATGTTTTAAGGCTGTATACGTATTTCGTCTGGAGTTATGCTTTAGCCCCAGTGCATACAGCTAGCCGCAGAGCTAACAGGCACACAGACATACGGCAGCTTACCTGGTTTTCATTTTTCAGCCGCTGTTGGAGGACATTCCTTTCCTCGCCTCATCACTTGTCATAAAAAACATCAGTGGGCACACCTGTGACAGAGAAACGGCAGCTAATACAGTGTGTTGTTGCTGCTGCTATCTGCTGCTGTCTGTCGGTAAGCAACAGCAGCACTTCCTAGTCTGATGTCACTTCCGCCTTCTGACGGGTGAAAGTTCAACACTCGAGAAATAAAACAAATCAAAACAGAATTGAATTTAACTAAATTCAATTAAACTCAAATGGATTAAATCGAATTAAATGTAAAAGATAAGCAATTTATGATCATGTGGTATATTACTTTTTTATAATGAATTCTATTTTTTTCTGCACAAGAGGTATTCAATCTTTAACATTTTAAATATCCAATATATAATCACACCTACAATAGTTTTTGAATAATGCAACTAATTAAAATTAAAAGAAAATTAAAATAAATTAACATGGAAAATGTTTATTATCATTAGCACTTATCATATCATTAGTAAATACATAAACAAACATGGACTCAGAAAGGAAATAATGATATTGCTGCATCTGGCTCTGATTGATTAGTTTTAGAAGTCAGAAGTAAGCATTATTTTATATTTTGAAAACAGCCCAAATGTCCAATGTATAAAATCAAAACACAAAAGGAGAACAATTCAAACTACCAAGCAATAATGGGAGGAGATTGAAATGATTCTAGCCAAACAGCCTTTCATCTGTAGGATATCATCATGTGTGTATGTGTGTGCACAGTCAGGGTGCACATCACAACATAAATCATACAAACATGGGAAGTGCTTTTGTCTCATGAGTGGGACATGGAAGTGCAGATAAGGGGTTCACTTGAATGAACACAGACGTGCACGTCAACCCACTTGACAAGTGCATCTAAACCAAACACACCTGCTTGTGTTGGCTTTATCATTCTGCTTCAACCATTGCAGTATGTACACACCGCTGGTCCAAGGCTCCGGCTGGGCCATACATCAAACTGAGATTATTGCACTTATCTAGAGTCCATCTCTGAATGAAATGCTAAGGCTTAGTGAAATATTAGGCTCTACAAAAATGTGAGCCAGATAGCATTTAACGCATCAGTGAATCTTTCACCCTGCGGTTTTGTATTTACTGACGGTAAAAAGCACTAGGGCCAATATTACAGCCTCGTAAAATGATGTACTGAAGGTGAAGTTCAATACATCCTGGTTAAATCACAATTAAGACCTAATTTGGCAACAAACTCACACACCAACATAAAGTTAGTGAATTTATATATTTACAGTTCGACACCATGAGTCAGTTTATTATGCTACTCCTATCTTATTACTCAAAATATATAGAGAGATTGATATCATATCTTGCTTCTATTGTGTTTTAAAAACTGCGATAATGTTTCCACTTGATATATTTAAATACATAATTGCTCTCACTGTGGCAATAGCTCTTATTTTTATTTAATTCACCATTTCCACATCTTCCTTTAACTGATCTGTGAATCTGCTTTTGGATCTCCCTCCCCTCTACCTTCCATGACAGCTCTGCACCCTAATTTAAATCAAATCCTGCCTCTCTACTAATATTTTACAAAATGGCAATTGTGAAAAGCAACCAATAAAAATTTTAGTACTTGTGTATAGGTTTTAGAATCAGAAAATAAACCCAGGTTAAACCCAGTAAATTAGGGATATATGAAAAAATTCAATTAAAATATTGTCTAATTTCGCTAACGTGGTGGTTCTCTGTGAACTCAAAGGTAATGTTATTCTGCTTGACTTTTCAGTGACTTTTGTGATTTATCCACCACCGTCACTTCTCACATTCCTCTAGAGCAACATTTCATTATTTAGCATGGTTAGCTGTGTCAGGCTGAGTGAAATGAAATAATGACCACAGGCCTACCTACAACCCCACAGGGTCACAAAACCCCTCTAATTTGACGGTCAGTCAAATATTTCTCTATATTACCCCCAATGGGAACATTATACCACTGTACTACTCCTATGTGAGATAAAACATGAAAGACACTGCATTCCTCCATCACCTGTACCCTTTTATTACCTCACTTGTGTCCAAAATACGTAGGTCTATATAAACACAAAATATCACCTTATAAATTTGAGTTCAGTAACGCAGGCAACTGCTCTGAAAGTTCTGAAAGAGCTGCACCCAAGGTCGTAAACTGGCAACATGTAAGTGAACCTGCCTGCATGACCCGGTCCACATGTTGGACCATATTAGCTGTGACCCCTAACGGCGTGCACATGGTTCTGCTTTAATCCTCTTTCTTCAACACTGTACAGCTTGCGTTACATTTATTAAACACTTTGAAAAATATATTTCCCTGCAAGACTTGCCATCTGCAAGAGGCATGAGGAAGCACGTGAAGGAGGCACCAGGCTGGGTCAGTCGTGATGTAAGTGCTGGTTTTAATACGGTGCAGGTCTTACCTCAGGATGGATGACTGATTTAAAAGGTATAGCTTTTAGTCCAGTGAACGGTTGGATCACAGATGAATTTTAATAAAAATGGAGAAGGGCCCACAAATCACCCCTTCTTTGCTCTTAGGAATGTTTTTGTGCACAGCATTGATATATAGGTGCAGATGTGTGACTACAGCGTGATGAGCAGCTGAACTAAAGGGGCTGCTGAGCTGGGGCTACAAGTCAGGCCGATAACTCCCTGAAGGCTGTGAATTCTAACTCTTAACCCCAAAATGAGTGAGTGAAGACATCAGCGAGAGAACGAACACATCCAGGGCACACACTGCACCCAGTGTGTGTGTGTTTATTTGATATATTTTATCAATAAAATATTGCACATCTTTTACTTGTAATAACACATAAAAAGTTCCTCATATTTTTTCATCACTTCATCAGTGTCAGAAATTTAAGCAACAAAAGAATTATGTTCATACACAAATTTGTTTTATGCTTTTTTCTCCTTTTAGTAAAATAAATGGGTCAGAGATTCTCTGTTTTAAAGTTAAAGATAGTTCATTCTTAATTCACATCATGACCAGTTAGATCTCTCTCTCTCTGCAGACCACTGCATTGTTACACTGGTTACTGTATCTGCTGCCACACACTATTACAACAAATACTTCATAATATATAATACATTTTCACCTCAAGGGAATGCAGTGGCTTGTCTTATGTGATACTTTGGTCCAAAGGCTGCAGATACAGGCTGGGACTGGCAAGTGTATAATTTAATGACCTCCAAATCATCGTTCAGTTTGTTGCCAGTGATGTTGAGAACTCTGCATTCTGCAGTTTGAAGAGTTCAAATGAGGGAACAAACCACAAGTCAAGTTCTTGTGAGGGAAAAGTTGGCACTTGAAATGAAGTCGGAATTATAATGAGTTTACACTGAGCGTTCATTTGACCAGCTACATTTTTGTTCTTGGGACAGAAAAGATGTATGGAAACAAAAAAAGCCATTAGGGTCTGAAAGTAAACCCAAGGAAGTAGTCCAAGAAATGATGAGAATCGTTTTGGCTTCCAGGTTCTGACTATGGAGACATTAGACTCCCAAATTAAAGCTCCAACAACCTTTACCTTGCTATTTCCAAAGATATTCAATAGAAATAAATAAATGATATAACCAGACAGATGTGACTCATTTGGACTTTATCAAAGTTATAATATCACACAAAATGGAGTTGGTCAGTTTAATAACTCAAGTGAAAATTAATTGCATTAAACTTTCCAAAGAATATACCATACTTATCTGACAAAGAGCCTTGTAAATATTACGGGTTTTTTCTTGCTGTAGGTGACAACATTAATACAGAGTTTCATGTCAGCAGCTCAATCTGAGGTCATGTGCAGCAGGGCAGAGGAACAGGTGTTTTTGTCCTGATTCTGTGTAAAAAGACTCGGCCCAGGCCGGAGGAAGCGGCCACATGTGTATGCCCCGCAGTCAGGTCCGTACAGGATGGAATAATTCATGTGAACTATTCAGAGGAGACGTCGTGAGGCAAAGTTCAGAGGCATGCTAATGACAAGCGCATGGAGGTGGGGAGAAAGAAAAGTGTCGGCCGTGAATGAATTGGAGGCGACAGGACGAAGGTTCGACCGTTTCAAGTTCTTTGTGCAGTGTCATTGTGAAATTCACGCACTGCTCTTGCAAATGTCCAAAGAGAAATTGGTGGTTTTGTAGCACACGGTGCACGCATTATGTCCAGCTCTCTTGGGTTATGAGGATTTCTTCTGTCCATTTCAACTAAAGAACAGCTTTTTGGATAGAACACAGAGGAAAGTATGTTCCCTCTTAAAACCCCTGTCAATTCTCTTTCATCAAATAAAAATATAACATATGTGCTACTTTAAAATTCCTGCCCGTGGAGAAGGAGCTCTTCGCAGGCAAAAGACGAACGCAACTGGCAATATTTAAATGATTTTAAAATCATGAATTTAAAACATGTTTTTAATGAGTTTCCGTAGATTAGCATTTTCCCAGGAAGGTGAGATACGTATATCAAATACAGGCATTTGCATAGCCAATAGGCTATGCAGTGTGTGTAAACAGTGGGTCTTAACTCTACACATTTAAACCTTTGAACATTTCAGTGTAAGACAAATATTGCATTTAAAGAGACAGTGTGTATTAAAAAGACAAAATTATAAAGTAGTAATACCTACAGTAAGCCTGGCTGAGAACTCTGAGTGGGATGGATTATAAATGTTGGGCAATCTTTGGAGCGGGAAGCAGAATGGAATCAGATTATTACCACTTTCTTCCAGGATCAACATCCCACTCAGACTCTACCACACAGTTTTATTGCAATTTGCTTACATTAGGCCCCAATTAACATTTTCACATAAACACATTGAACAGAACACGGTAAAGTCATTTCTCAGATTAAACTCTCCTGTTACCTCCAGGGAGAAGGACAAGTGAAGCTTAAACTGCGTCATAAATGAGAGTTAAATAAAGAGTAAAACAACACAGATTCAGGTGGGTGATTATATACAACTGTAATGTAACAGTTAAGACGCCAACTGCTGCAGCTTACAGTAGAAGAAGATGTTGCCTAGATGTCGTAGCAGACATTAGCTAAGTAGAAAGTACACAAATCAACTCCTCTAGGACAGCAGTGTGTGAAACTAAACTGGTTTTTCTCTTTGTTGTTGTTTTTCTTCATTTATTTCTTTAT